TGAAGAAGTGAAGACTGGTTTCCTAGAAGTATTTGTTTTTTCTGATTTCGAGATGCTCTAAGTATTTTGAGTTTTTCTCAATGAAGGTTTTATTTAATTCTTTATGGTTGATAATTAGTTACTAGAAATAGGAAAAACAATGATGTTAAATATGAAGTGTTTCATATAATTCTTTTTCTTATCATTTTTTCATTGCTAAAGTAAGAAATTCTCAACTGATAATTCTTTTCTTTATTGTTAATAAAATATCAGGAACAGGTAAAAAATATTAGTATAGTTAAGGTGTCAGTAATGCAAGATTAGAGCATCTCTTAGATTTTTTTAAAATGCACATCATTCGATTCCTTTTTTGTGCGCTGATCGCGAATATTTACTTATTTTTTTTTAATTCAACAAAACCTTCATTGAGAAAAACTCAAAATACTGAGAGCATCTCGAAATCAGAAAAAACAAATACTTCTAGGAAACCAGTCTTCAGTTCTTCAACATTATGGTTTCAGCCTCGCCGTTATGATTTTCGAATTTCTCGTATATAAATGGGTTTAAAAACATTATTTGAAACTGTATCAGATATTATATGGCTAATCTGGAGCAGGATCCTTAAGCATGGCTCCATGTCGGAGTTTTTGGTTTTGCAAACCTATCTAGTTTTCTGTGCTAATAAATCGAGCTTTTATTCATACGCCATTCAAAGAACTTCAAAAATATGGCTCGTTTTTTTAAATATTATTTTCTTAAGGTGAGAAAAGTCGCCTGCCATACCAGAACTATAAAAAATGGTCTAGCCCTTTTTCAATAAAATTTGTATTTTCTCGTCCAAAACTCGTTATAATAAAGGTAATTATTCAATGAGTCTACCAGGATAGACTAAAAATTATCGTAACATGATTTAAATGTCGGTTTATATCGAATCTTCGATGGATCGAGATTTGATTTTTACATTTCATTTGGCACATATACAGATGCGATTCAGTTTGAAATTGCGCCTAGAACCGAGAAACATTTCATTTGAGATGTGTCTGGATGCGTCCGTTCCTCATGTTTCGACCACACATCAACCACGATTCAGATATATTTTAACTACAAAAATGATATATGAAAATAAAAATAATCTCTTATATAAAAAATTTAAAAAAAAACTTTTCTTCGTTGATTTAGTACGTATTTGTTTCTTAAGATTTATTTACTTTTTATCAATTAATTCCAAGAATAGCCTTAAGTTATGTCATGCTGTACTTTACATCGTTATGAATAATTTAATAAGTTTTTATCTGTCGTAAGAATAATCTTTTAAACAATGTATTCTTATTCACATTCTATTTTTAAAAATGAAATGTTTTTCATTGAAATCAAAAGTTTTATTTAAACAAACATTTATTTCGATAAAGATTGTCTTTGTTATGATCACAACAAATCAATAATTAATTGATTGCTTAACAAATTTTATGTTTAAAACAAAAAGAAATATAGTTCGAATATATGACTTCTATTAGTATCCTCCGTATGAATAACCATATCCGGCACCGTAACCGCCACGACCTCCAATTCCTTCAAAACCTCCAAGTACAAAAGTACCTCCAACTCCAGGATAACCTCCAGTAACTTGACCCCATGTTGGATTTGGATTTCCACCGTTCATATTATCAAGATATTCACCCCTTGCACCTAGATAAAAATAAATAATTAAGGAAAATTTAGGTTTTTTTATTGATATTATGTACGTATTTATCATTAGTGATTCGATTAAAAAATAAATTACTATTCAGATTTATGATAAAAATTCAAAGTTTGTTAGAGAAAGTGACAAAATCTTTATCAAGATAAGACTTCAAAAATTATAAACGAATCAATAAAAACTGTTGATATATGAAGTGCCTACCAAAATTATTCAACAAAATTTATTCTGAATTACTTTTGCTATCGAGATTACAAAAAAAAGAATCCAAGTAGTGATTCGAATAGAGAAAAGCATATATTAAACCCCTCCCCGCATTAGAAGACCCCTGGTCTTCTATTATGTCTCGTCGTAAAAATTTCTCAGAGGGGTCTTCTATTATGTCCTAGGTTTTTTACCAATTATTAACTGAAACTAGTTTT